ATGCGAAGTGCTCTCGCGGCACGTGCTGGTGCGGATCAGAACTGGGGCCATTCCGTCAGTGTCCGGTCGGTGATCTGCAGCCAGTTCAGCAGGATCTCCTCCAAGCGGGCCGTGTGCCTCATTAAGCACCGTTTGACTTTGCTGAGATGGTGCACCAGGGCTTGCAGCCCAGCCGAGTGGAAGCAGCGAGCGCCCGCTTTACAAGTACCGCTGAGCTGAAGAAGCGACCAGGCATCTTCCAGACTCGGTGCGTTCAGTTCAAGCTCAATTCCCTCGCGGAACGGATGCCAATGCGACAGATGATCGAGCAGCAAGCCGCCAAACAACACCGTGTCCTTGACATGGGCTTGTCTTCCCGTGCGTCGTTCTGACTTTTGCAGCGCTTTCTCTTCCTGACTGGGCCAAGAACCAACTTTGCGGATGAGATACCTTTCCATGATTCGGCGATGTTCACAGGTGAACAGGTCCGCCTGTTTGCGCGTGAGCCGCCAAAAGCTGCCATCACGGAGGACGTGCGAGGGCGCATCGCATCGTACAGACATGAATGTGACGTGTCTGGACAAACTCTGCGTCTTATCTTACCTTTGCTGCATTGGCGGCCAACTGAACTTTCCTGGACCTTTTGGTCTTACTCGGCGGGCTCTTCCCTTTGCCATCGGCGCATTCATCGGGGGATGAGAAGGCCATGGGCGACAGCAATGGCCAGTAGGAAACCCGTGTAATGAGAAGTGGGAGGAAGACAGTCTCAAAAACATACGATGAATGTGGATGGTCAAACAAAGGATGCTTTCGGCACTTACAATGCTACTACTACCTACTACTACTGATACATTAATCCTACTGGTTCTATTATTACTACTAGTCTCGCGACTTGCGACAGCAGTGGCCAGCTACTACTACTACTACTACTACTACTACTACTACTACTACTACTACTACTACTACTACTACTACTACTAGTACTAAGCTTAAATTGGTCTCGGGCGCGGAAGCTTGCGGGAAAGGCATTTCGGGAGGGGCCTGGCCGTGCGGTGAGCTACTACTATTACTACTACTGCTACTACTACTACTACTACTACTACTACTACTACTACTACTACTACTACTACTATCCTACTACTACTACTACCTACTACTACTACTACTACTACTACTTATATACTACCATGACTACTTCTTCTACAGCTACTATACTATATACTATACTACTACCACTACTACTACTACTACTACTACTACTACTACTACTACTACTACTACTACTACTACGTTTTCTGGTTCCAGTGTTTTGCTTGCCTGCTCGTGCGTGTGTGTCGGCTGAATGCCAGGCTCACTAGATGTTGGCAATGCCGTACGTGTGGGGATGTTCCCGCAATTCTTGCAGGAAAGCGCTCCTGCTGACGATCGTGGGGCCGGCTTTGAGTGAGTCGAGCTTGGTGTACTCGCCGTTGAAGCATCTGTACGCAATCCAGTGCTGGTTGTCCTGGTTTTGTAGGGCTCCCACGTAGTTAGTCAAGTCTTCTGGTGCTGTTAGTGGCCTGAGGTCGAGCCGCCAGGTCACTCGGTCGTGCTGGCTCATGGCCTTCGTATTGAGTGCCGTGCTGAGGACCTCGGACGAGAACCAGCCGTTGCCGGACATGTGGTCCTCGGTGCAGTCTTGCAGTTCCGGGTTCTCGAGCAGAAACTGATTGGCGGCGTAGACGAGGTCTGCCTCTCCGAAGATGTCGTCACCTAGAGCGTTGTTGAGTGCGCGCAATCCGCACAGAGCTCGTTGCTGTTTTTGGAAAAAGATTGCTGAGCTTCTCTTGGTTGTCGCCGTGGCAGTTCGGGTTTTGGCTCGTTGCGTTGGTCGTGAGACGGGTTGGCTGGCCTGCTTGTCGCAGCAACTTGTTCTGCCGGGCTTGAGAGCTGGGGGCGGGCCGGATTTCTTCTGTAGTTTTGCAGGCTTTTTCCTGTGCGCGAAGAGGTCAGTGGTCAAGATGTCTGGTTTCTGCAGCTTTGCGAGTTTGTTCTTGTAGTGGATCGGCTTTTCGTGTGCGGCGGCGAGGGTTTGCCAGAGGGCTTCGATGCCTTCATTGCTGTGTGTGGGCAGCTTGTGTTGCGCGTAATACAGTGTCGTCAGCGCCCACTCTGCGTCCTTGTTGTAAATGAGACTGTTTCGGTTGAACTTCTTCAGTGCGGCCAGAGACATTTTGGGCACGCGACTCAAGGCCGTGTACGCTTGGCCCGGGTTTTTGATGCTTTGACCCAGGTCCGCAAAGATGCCTTCGGGCAGCGTCACTGCCTGTGCTTTGTGGATGGTGCTGGCGTGGGCGGGTACGAGGGGAAACTGTCGTCTCTGGATCCACTGGGCGTTCTTCCCCCAATAGTTGGCACTTCGTCGTTCCACGGCGACGGCGGGCGTCTGGTGCAGGTGGCACCATCTCTTTCCGGCTTTGTCGAATTTGACCCAGATGGTGGTGACCTCGTCGTCTAGGAGTTCGACGGATTGGACTTCTCCGCAGGCGCCGTTGACTAGGCCGTCTCTCACGTCCCAGTTTTGTTTGTACATCACTCGACTGCCTACCGCCACTGTGAGTAGGGATTCGAGTCCACCGGTGTCTTCTGGATCGATGTAGCTGTTGCTTGGGTCCGCGGTTTCGCCGGTTTTCGCGCACGTGTCGATGCAGGGACATTCGTAGCAGCGGGTCTGCTGTTGCTCGGTGTGGTGGTGAAATATGCGTGCGTTGGTCACGGCGACGGCCTCCCGCGTGGCGTGAAGGTGCATGGCGTTGCGAGCTGGCTGGACGCCGTTTCTGCGGCGGCTGACTCTGCTCTGGAGGATGCGGACGTCCTGCTCTGTCCACTGTCCGATGCGCAGCCTGGCCAGGAGTTCTGCCCACACGGGGTCCAGTGCGGCTCTTTGATTCCCCTGCAGTTCGAGCAATCGAAACTGGGTCCAGTGTCGCTCGCACGCGAAGATGGGCTTGCCGTGCGGCGGTGGCAATTGGTAGAGGTCTCCGAAGAGGACGAGGTGGATGCCGCCGAAGGCGGTCGCATCGTTGCCGGTGGCCAGTCGCAGGTGTCGATCGATCCTTTCGAGGGTTTCATCCGAGACGAAGCCAAACTCGTCTAGTAAGAGTACTCTCGCATGTTTCCAGAGCGTGCGCATGCTCTCGAGCTGAAAACCCCGCGGCGGTGGAATGTCCGTCGACTTGCCGTAGCTGTTGTTTGTGACTGGAAGGGACGGTGCGGTGTGGAGTGTGACGCCGTTGATGTTGAACGCCGCCACGCCTGTTGGGGCCGTGATGACCACGCCGACACCTGCTTGCCGCAGTTTGTGCGCTACTGCGCGGAGGATGACGGATTTGCCGCTGCCGCCCGGTCCGTGCACGATTAGCCTCAGCTGTTCATTGGATTTGGGTGTGGTCTTTGGCGCTTCCAAGACGAAGGAGATGATGTAGTCCATGACAGTTCTCTGGTACTCGATCTGCTTGTTGTCGGTGTCTGTTTGCAGGAGTTCGAAACATTCCTGGTAGGGAGGACAGGGGGGGCGGGGGGGGGGGGAGGGAGGGGCGGGGAGGGTGGATGGGGGAAATGTTGTCGTCTGTGTAGCTTTTACAGGGGCGATGGCGGTGCGCAAACGGACCCTGTCCATTGAGCTTGCTTCGTGTGCGGGGTGCGTTTTTGAGAATATTAAACTGGGTTTTTTTTTGGTTTTTTTTGGATTTTCGGAAGTTTTTTTGAATTTTCCGAGTTTTGTTTGGGTTTCGGGTTTGCTAAACCCTGAATTTAATAAACCTTACTTGGGGGTTTGCTAAACCCTAGATTTTCGGTCCTGGCCCTTAATTTTCAGCTTCGGGCCCTTAATTTTAGGCTCCGGGTCCTTAATTTTAGGTCCGGTCTTGGCGCGGTCCTTAATTTTAAGCTCCGGGTCCTTAATTTCCGGCTGTGGGTCGTCAATTGTAGGTTTTGGTCCCGGGGGTTTGCTAAACCCTAGGGTTTGCTAAACCCTGAATTAGGGTTTAATAAACCTTAATTGGGGGTTTGCTAAACTCTAAATTGGAGTTTAATAAACCCTGCTTATTAAATAATTAACCCTGAATGGGGGCTTGCTAAACCCTAGGGTTTGCTAAACCCTAAATTAGAGTTAAATAAACCCTGCATGGGGGGTTGCTAAACCCTAGGGTTTGCTAAACCTTGAATTTGGGTTTAATAAACCTTGCATGGGGGTTTGCCAAACCCTAAATTAGGGTTTAATAAACCCTGAATGGGGGTTTGCTAAACCTTAAATTAAAGTTTGATAAACCTTGTTTACTAAACCCTAGGTTAATTAACCCTGAGTGGGGGCTTGCTAAACCCTAGGGTTTGCTAAACCCTAAATTAGAATTAAACCCTGCATGGGGGTTTGCTAAACCCTAGAGTTTGCTAAACCCTGAATTAGGGTTTAATAAACCTTGCATGGGGGTTTGCTAAACGCTAAATTAGGGTTTAATAAACCCTGAATGGGGGTTTGCGAAACCCTAGGGTTTGTTAAACCCTGAATTAGGGTTAAATAAACCCTGAATGGGGGTTTGCTAAACTCTAGGGTTGCTAAACCCTAAATAAACCCTAGGGTTTGCTAAACCTTACATTTAGAATTATGTTGGAATGCAGGACCACATGTGGTGCTTAGCATAATGCGAGTCCTTGTTTTGTCTTACAGCTAAGAAGGCTGGGATGTGCTGATCCTCTAGAGAGAGGGAAAGTTCCGCATAAGTACAGCTGTAAAGAGTGTGCACAGATGCCTCTGGAGCAGCTTACCGGCGGGTACGTTGGCTCAAGATGGAAAAAACGTGCCGAGCTGAGGTGAGGACTCACAGTCCGTTGGTAAGCCGGCGCTTTGGGTTTTTCGGGGGTGTTGGGGTTTTTGGTGGGGTTAGGATCTTAGAGGTCATCCCTGCCAGGACTCCCGATTCCCTTCACAACCCTCGAAGTTTCTTTGCGTAACTACGTTACTTAGGGCTCGTCGCCGATCTGCCATGGAGTCTGGGGTTCAAGATCAACGACCTGATGGTCAACAGGTTATGATTGCCCAAGTTCGCGATGCTACTCTGCAGGAACCCAGACCGTTGGAAGGCGAAACCCACGGGCCAAATTATGATCGCGGCCCTCATCCGCCGCAGCAATTGCCGAATGGAGTGCCCCACAGACCTTTGGGAGCCTCTCCGACTGCAGAAAGCGATTTGGCTGCCTTTGCTTACTCGCCGTCTGCAGAAAGGCATGAGATGGGAGGCGGTGATCGAGATTGTGCTCCTCGTGGACCTGCTCCGGCTTTTTACCAAGAGGCCTTGCCAGCCCAACCGGAACGCCTGGGCATGGCAGGCCCTGTGGAACCTGCTGGACAGATGAGAAGCTTTGGTGGAGCCTCAGCTGCTACGATGAACTGGATGACCCGGCTAGGCGATTTCCTACGGACGCAAGTGCAAGGCGGCATGGAGACCAGGACTACGATGACGCGTCAGCAAGTTGTGGGCTCGAGAGAACTGGGTGGCTTGGTTGTGCAACAGGAGCAGCTGCAACACACTACTTCCCAGCCGGCATCTCCCCACAACCGCTTGTATCCTGCCGCACCTTCGTCACCTTTCCGGGATGACATGGGAGAAGGGGAACAAGATCCACCCTTGTTTGGGGTTGGAGCTCGGCGCGTGATGGAAAGCTGGGCCCAGCGGGCTCCTCTTCTACATGGAGGGCAGAGGACTCAACAAGGGCCGGGGACGGATGCAGGGTCTACCGGGTCTATACCAAGGGAAGTGGTCCAAGAAGAAGTTCGTCGGCAGGTGCAGGAAGCTTTGGAGGGTCAGCGTCGATCGTTGGAGCGTCTTCAGGAGGAGAATCGGCTGTTAAAAGATGAAATGAGGAGCCGTGAGGCCACTCGTGGCCCTCTGAGAGATGACATGGGGCAGCATACAGTACTAGAAGGGCATCGGGCTGCATCCTCGCACGGTGTACCAGAAGGGCATCGGGCTGCATCCTCGCACGGTGTACCAGAAGGGCATCGGGCTGCATCCTCGCACGGTGTACCTGACGGGCATCGGGCTGCATCCTTACATGGTGTACCAGAAGGGCATCGGGCTGCATCCTTGCGTGACGTACCAGAAGGGCGTCGGGCTGCACCCTCGCATGGAGTACCTGAGGGGCATCAGCAATCAGCTTTTCAGAGTCGTGGAGTACCTGAGGGGCATCAGCAATCAGCTTTTCAGAGTCGTGGAGTACCTGAGGGGCATCAGCAATCAGCTTTTCAGAGTCGTGGAGTACCTGAGGGGCATCATCAGTCAGCTTCCCAGAGTCGTGGAGTACCTGAGGGGCAAGGACGAGTGGGGCATCAGGAACGGGATGCCGAGATGGGTCAAGACATGTTGTCTGATCAGTTCAGAGGCAGAACATCTAGTCTGGATCGCAGGACTTCGCCGCTGGGGCGAACTCGGAGGAAGCCATCTTCGTCACCTACGAGACCGGCTGAGGGCCTGGGTCGGGCTAGTTTTGCCTACGGTGTGACGGGCCTCTTGGATGGAGATGGATACAGCTTTCCGCAGAGCGAGCGAGTATACCGTCAGCCAAAGTACCAGGAGACCAAGACCTTTGGCGACTATGATGTGTCGGTGCCACCTGGCCTAGGTTTCTCGGCTGAAGGAGCGAAAGAGGCACCGAGATCGGCTCCCGCGGAACCCTCGACGGCACCAGCCACTGGAGATGCGGCCAATCGGGAGCCGAATCCGCTCGAGGTTCTCATCACTGGAATGACCCAGTTGCAACAGCTCTTGTTGAAGAAGGGTGAAGGACTGGATGTGGAGGCAAAGGGGATGCCGGAGTTGCCCAAGCTTTCGGAGTACAGCCCGGAAACGGGAGCGATAGAGTTTCAGGACTACTTGTACCTGGTGGAGCAGCAGATCGGCTCACTCGCTAGTGGAGCGGGGGAGTGGTGGCAGAAGACCTTGGAGGTGGCCCAGGCTGCGTATACCGAGTACCAAGCGCTCTCACCGGTGAAGAGGCTGGGGGTGAAGGCTCAGTTGACGGCTGAGCTTAAGGAGGAGCGATACCGCCGGTTAGAGAAGAAGGTCGCGGCGATGCTGTTGAGCTCCTTGCCAAAGGGGGTCAAGGACGACCTCATCGCGTACCGCGTGCAGGGG